GAGAGAGAGAGAGAGAGAGAGAGAGAGAGAGAGTGAGTTTGTGCGCGCGTGTGTGTGTGATGTGTGTTTGTGTGTGCGCGCGCGGGAGAGTGCGGGAGCTGCGCTGCGCGGGAGCGTGAGAGAGAGAGAGAGAGAGAGAGAGAGAGATGTGCGTGTGTGTGTGTGTGTGTGTGTGTGTGTGTGTGTGTGTGTGTGTGAGAGAGAGAGAGAGAGAGAGAGAGAGAGAGAGAGAGCTATCCTGAGGGAAACTTTTGAGGGAACCAGCTACTAGACGGTTTCATTGGTCTTTTGCCACCTCTGTCTTCTTCTTCTTCTTCTGCCACCCATATCCATCATTCCTCTTCTATCAGTCAGAGAGAGAGAGAGAGAGAGAGTGAGACTTGGTGACTATCTTCGGGGCTATTCCCCGGAGTTGGACACAACATTTGAACTGAGACTATATTGGGACTATTTCTTGGGACTATTTGACGAGGCTATGATCATTCGGCTGATACATTGAGTTGCAGTCTTTGCCTCACCTCCGTCATCTGTGGTTTGTCTCTCTTCTTCTTCTGTCCCTTTTCATCACGTGCCTCACCTCCTTCTGCAGTTTATCTCCCCATGTGTGTGGGGCTCTTTTTCTTCTTCTGTCCCTCTTCATCTCGTGCCTCACCTCCATCTTCTGCAGTTTATCTCCCCATGTGTGTGGAGCTCTTTTTCTTCTTCTGTCCTCTTTTCATCTCGTGCCTCACTTCCATCTTTTGCAGTGCGTCTCCCCATGTGTATGGGGCATGGTGGCATCTTTCTTCCATGTATGAGCTCGCCTTGCCCATCTCATGTGTGGTGATGCATGTGCATGTCATGTCCAGAGTTGGGTGAGTGACATTTGTGGTTTTAATATCTTCCGCTGCTCACAGTATTGTTTCCTTGCACTTTGGGGAATCCTTGGATATGTGCCTTGCCTGTTTGAGAGAGGATATGCTAGTTTGGTATCGGAGTGGACCAATATGCCAAGCAACTGATCTGCTCATCAAGATCGATTGGATTGGATTGCATTGATATTGGAGCA